CAGAGTTCTCACAATAAAGACTCTGGTTCTTATAAAAAAAACAGGGAAAATATGAATTTTTTATATACACATGTATGTACACAATTATATTCAACTTCTAAAATTATTAAATTAGTGCAAGTTTTAAGAATTAATAATAATAAGCTGTACTTCATGATTTGATCTGCTTACTATATAAAAAAGTATGTTTTAGTCTTTTTGAATTTAAATATTTCCTGACAGGTATGCTGACAGTAATAAAATCCAAAGGCAGAAGTGCATGCAGAGAAAGGATTTCACCATATAATAAACCAGTTAGAAGGACATCTCCAGGGAAGATGGAACATGGAAATGCATGTTAAGTTCTGTATTGTATATACTATGGGGAGATTAATTGCTTAGAGGTGCTAGCTTGTTTCCAGTTCCATCCATGTTTCTACTGCCCTCATTCTTCTTGGAGAGACTGTTTCTCCATTATAAGCGGAAGGGCTTTCTCTAATATTTTGTAGCCATTAAAGGCCGTCAGTTCATCAGCTTCCAAAATGTTCTGGGCTTGACTGTCAACCTATTGAAATGAAGAATTCTTTCTGAAATGTCATGACTTTTTTAATTCCTGTCAAACTCTTCCCTGTGCTTCATAAATGGTCAGTTTTTATCTTAGCAGTATACTTTTGAAAGGTTTATTTAGTAAGTATATAAAATGGGATAGAACAGAAAGATTTTCACTTTAGCAATGAATATTTTAATAACTAAGTAGCTTTAATTCAGCTGCTTTTACCTGCAGGTTAGCTTTCTTACTTGCCTCAGGTATCATACTACTTATTACTTACTGATGAGATTTTACTGTATTGGCAATTGTGATGTTAAAGGCATCACATACTGAAACAGTAGATATTAATGCAAGATGTTTAGTTAATTTTAGGCTTTAGAAATTAACTTTTTAAAGACATGTTGGATTTAGATAACTAAAGAAGGGATTAAATACAGTAGATCAGCCAGTGAATATAAATGTACTTAACCTGCTTCTTGTAGTATAAGGATTATACCCACAGATTCATGCCAACGTGCTCGAGGGAAATGGCTCTATTTGTTTTTTTAAAAGGCTCAGAACATTAACATGATACAAGATCATTGTCACTTCCAGGCAAGCAAGACTGCCAAGAGGATTAATAAACTGGTTTGAATATCATTTCTCCCTTTCTTGATTGGTTCTTATTTCTGAATGCTCATGATAGTTTAAGCTTCAGAAGATTTGGAAACCCTGTTATTTATACATATTTATATACATATATAAAATGTGTATAAACCCTATACATATTTATAGTTTATAAAAAGAAGTAAACAGCCAAGACAACATCTTAATGTTGATGCTCCCTGCTTACCAGTACCTGTTGGAGGGCCCAGGACATGAACTATAGTCACCCATTTAGCTTCAGGGTGCCCCTGATTTTGCATATAGTGATGTGCCATTCTTGGAAGTGGAAACAGAAGAAGCTACCATGAGGAGGGTTTATATTCTTCAGTTAAGTGTAATAGTTTTAAACAAACTTAAACTCTTCATTGTCTGCAAAGTGAAGAACCAGTGCATGAAATCAAAATGCAAGAATCTTCTATACTAAACAAAATTTTCAGTGTTCTGGGTTTTTTTTTTTTAATATGTTTAAAATGCTGAAAAAATTTTGAAGTTAAATAGTTTTGTGTATTTTTTTCTTTAAGTGCCGAAGGGTTAGATTTTTTTTTTTTAATTTTGAAAAGTTTAAAACAAGTTTAGACTTATAAAGGTCTGAGTCCTTTCTAGTGTACTGAGAGTCTACTGGCCTGAAACTGCCTCTTTCCAAAGAGAGTTGAGTAGGTCAGTCAGCTATCCTCAATTGAACTTCATGGCCCATTGCTCTGTGTCAACCTCCTAAAACACTGTCAGATTTAACTTGGTTAAAAATAAATGTTAACTTCTTCATCTGAGTCATCAAATCATTCATTAAGAAAATAGTTTGTTCATAAACTACAGAGAAAAAAACATGTGGACTGTTGAAAGGTTTAAAAGGAGCTAGACATATATAGGCATAACATGATTAAGTCAGGTTTATTTATTCATATTTGTCCCTGCAACAGTTTTAGGTAAAGTAAATAATCTGGCAGTTAACTGTAATTAATTCATTTGTATAAAATAGGCACACTTGAAATATCTGTTCAGTGAATTTAAATGAACTCATTCGTTGATGTTAAATATTGTAGTGCTGTTATCCAAAATTACGGATACCACTTACTGCTGAAGCAACAAGGAATAGAATTCACACAATGGAGTTTTAATGAAAACCTTTAACTCTGTTTGGTCAGATTTCTTCTGATACTCTTAGGAAGTTAAAGAACACAAAACTGTTCTATATAGTTCTGCATGTTCCTCTTACTTTTACTCAGCATAGGCTATATTGGACACAGAAATCAGTTAGGCTATTACTGTGAAGCTAAGGGAAGTAGAGCTTGTTGAACAAAGGTGATACCAGTGGGTGGATGTGAGGAATTATAGGAAGAACAACATGCTTTGTTACTTGATTGTTAGTAGAAGTTAAGGAGAAGGAGTGGTCAGCATTAGCTCATAAAAGGTGGATCAAATTCCCAGTTTTTAGTGGTCTAGCAGGTTTGGCTTTCTGGGATGAATATAGACTCTGCTTAAGGAAGTTTGATGAAAAAACAAGGCGTGTCATAGCAGCAATGACACTATTGGGTAGAAGTCATGGGTCAATTCCATATTAGATAATCGTGCTTCTAGAAAACTGAGACAAAAAATTGTGATCCAGTTTGTTAGACTGAGCCATGGCATTTAATTGTGAGTAAAAACAGCAAGAGCTCCACACAGTGTTTCTCGAGGAAATTTGCTAGCAATGAGTACTGGCTGATTGTTGTTAACTCAGGTTTAAGGAAAAGGTCTGGAAGGAGAAAGCAGAAAAGTAAACTGTTATCGCAGACAAGACTGGTTTCCCTGGCCCTGGAGGAAGAAGAACCCTTAGTATGTATATGCAGACAGGGACCTGGGACCATAGACTGATCCCTCAAATGTATTCAAGGTCACTAACCCCCAGCATTGACATTGAGCTTGCAATCTCTCCTCACCCATTGCAAAGCCAAAACAATTTCCCTATCCCTGTGGTTTGCCTGAGTAATTGTTATTAATATACTGTTGAGTCTGCCTGTCTCTTATACCAGATTAATTTCTAAAATACCTATTTTCTTTGTAGCATTGTTTCACTCAAGAATCTCCTAATGCCATTTTTTTTTTCCCTGACAGATAAATTCCAGGGATCTAGTCTGGTATTCAAAAATAGTTATAAATTTACCTACCCTTTTCCATGATGCAGTCTTCTGCTCTGAAAATATTATTGCCATTCTTAAAATATGCTAAGTAAATCTAGAATGCTCATCTCTCTTTATCATAAAATATTAAAATTTATAGTTTCCTCTTCCTGTAGCCTTATTAACCTCAACCTATGGGTCTTTTCTTCTCTTTAACTTGACTCACTTGTTTTTTCCATGTTTGTGCCTTCTCTTCTTTTGCCTAGTATTTCATCCTTCCATATAGAATGTCTGTTCTTAAATGTAGGGCTACAGTCTCTCTCTCTTACTAAAAGTTGGGAGTGAACCATTTTTTTTTTCACTTTTATTTGACTGCCTGGCCAGGTTTTGAAAAGTGTTTGTCTTAAGAATAGTTGGAAAAGATGAATCATTTGCCTAATGTTTCATGTATAAAATGTAAAGTAAGAAAATGTAACTTTGAAATAAAAAACGTGGTTTCTTTGCTGGAAGCTATGACTTTTCTTCAGGATATGACTTTCAAGATACTAGATATTTAAATAACTTAAAAATCTGTACACATTCTGTATTATGATTCACTAGCAAAGGAAATAAGAGATTAAAAAAGGGGAAATCTTAATCTTGTCATCCTAAATTAGAAATTTTTCTAATATAAAAGGAATGCGTATATGGAAAGTTATATTGTTGACAGTAAGAAAATTGTTATAAACTTCCTAGGGGCAATTTGAATTTGTTCAATATGCATGAAAAGGTTTATTATTATGGCCAATCAAGTCCACTCTTAGGAATTTATTACAAGCAATGGTTTGTGAATATATCTAAGTATTTTCAAGGCTGATCATTATGACATTGCTTTATAAGAGTAAAATACTGTGATCACCTGAATATTTAACCATGTGGAATTCAATCATCTGTAATGCTACAAACATTTACTATGAGATATTATATAGTTACTTTTAAAATACCTACTAATGGGCCTCCCTGGTGGCACAAGGGGTTAAGTCACAGCACTATGAAACTATCCTTAGCCACCACAGCACAAGTTCAGTCCCCAGCCAGGGAGTTGACCCACATGGCACAGCAGACTTCTCCTTTCTGGCCCGCTGCTCCCTTCAGCAGTGTATTTCAGTAGATCTGCTGTTCTGCTCCCCACTCTCTCTCTGGTGAACTCTCTCACCCCCTCTGCACCTCTGGCCTTTTCCCAAGCTCTTGTATGAATAAATCTTAAAAAAAAAAAAAAAAAAACCACTGAAAAGTTTAGTGGCATGGAAGAATGACCCTGACATAGTAATACTTAAGTCAGATGTTGTTTTGTTATCAACAAAAGGAGAAAATCCTGTCATTTGCAACAACTTGGTCTTCAGTTTACATAAATAAGCCTCAGTAGAAAAAGCATAGCAGTAGTCAGCAAGTGTTGCTATTCCTGCTAAAGAAGCTACCAAATCAAAAATTTACTGGTCTCTAAGAACGTCTTCAAAAGGCCAGCCTAAAATCTCCAGACCCTAACAATACTCCTTGTAGGCTCATTCAAACATGAAGTCATTTTTATTCATGTTGGTCACTTATTTATAAAATAATTAAGTTCTCCAACGACAATATTTTCACTTTTTCTTTTACCCTGTTAGTTCACTTCCAACATAATTAAAAGCATGTATCTCTTAAAAGCAAATGGTACTTCACACAGTACAGATACATTACTTTCTTAACTTCAGGCTGCTGTTGGCAGAGTAGACACTGAAGACTTGGACCTGTACGCTACGTCTCGGGAAAGGCGCTTCCGTTTGTTCGCTTCCATAGAATGTGAGGGGCAGTTATTCATGACGCCACATGATTTTATTTTGGCTGTTACAACAGATGAGCCCAAATGTAAGTATATTTTAAACTTTACGTAATTGGATGTTTTTTTTGTTTGTTTGTTTTGTTTTTTGTTATCTCAAGTTTGTAAAAGCGTGGAGTGGTGTTAAGTTTCTCAGAGCTTGTTAGGGTCCGAAATCACCCAGTTGTCCCCCTCAACAAAGAACAGGACCAGAGATGCACAAGCAAGCAGAGTTTATTAAGCCAGCTAGCTGGGGTCAAGTCCTCCTGCAGGCACGCAGGCCACACAAGGAGAGCAACCGTGTGGTATTTCAGAAGACATCGTATTGGATAGTATATCAGACTTTTATTTCCTATAAACTCCTACCGGTGTCCTCTTTTCATAATACCGAGTTTTTAACATTAAACTTGATATTATTCATAATAAGTGTGTGTTCTGCCTCTTTAGGCCTTACTTCTAGCCTGAAAGGGAGAAAGTCAAGTATTAGCCTTTGAGGTTGGAACGGGCAGTATTTGTCCTGGTTCCTGTAGTGTAGATATAGACTCATTGTTTCTCACCTTTCTGGGTGATGGAGCAGTGGTCCTCAAAACTTTTTGGCATTATATACATTCTTGAAAATCTCTTTAATGTCTGACTTAATAGAAGACAGCCGGAGTCTTACATTTGTTTTTGTATTCAGCCTGTTGCAATACATTGTTTCTCATGAAGTACATATGCAAAGAAAATTTGCCTCATGATTATAGGCATAGGAAAAGGGAGGAGTATTTTAATAGCTTTTCAGATAATTGTAGATGTTCTTCTTAATGCTATATCAATATTTGGCTAATGATAGTTTCTCAAAATGTTGATGCAGGGTAGAACCTGAATTTTTTTGTCTCTTGTTGCATTGAGAATCAGTGACCTAATACAATATACTCTGCATCTTTTGCCTTTATATAATCTTTTTTCATCAACTGAAAATTATTGGTTCACTGAACTGTACAATTTTCCAAATGTTTCCTTATTTCATTATTTTAAAAAATCATTTTCATTAATATTTTTATAAACTTATCAGAAAAGCTTTATTTATGGAAAGCTGTCAAACTCACGGTGATGCATTCTAATTTTTGCTTGAAAGTTCAAATGTTGTCACTGGCAGTAAACACTGTCAGTTGTTTTCCTTAACCAACAAGCCGAGTTTGTTCATCACTAAGAAAATGTCTGCCAAATACCTAACTAAATAACCATTATTTGTGTGTTAGACAAGTAAAAATTGTTTCCTAAAAAAATAAAAATATTCAGTTTACAGCTCAAATAATTAGTAGTGCTTTTTCTCAAGACTTGGGATACAGCAGAAGTGCTTTATGCACACTTTCCATTTCATCTCACACTTCCCATTTCATCTCCCAGCATGTTAAATGGCATGTACTCAGTGCCTCTACAGCGCTTGGCTCTGGAGATAAATACTCTCCTCCCTCATGATGCTTACAGCCTGGTGAAAGAAACCAACACTGATCAATGAAGCATACAGAGAAACAGCTGAGTGTTATGGGATAAATGCCAGGAAAGAAAGCTGCCGATGTTGGAAAGTTTATTTTTGAAAAATGACTAGTTAGAGAGTACAGGGAAATAAATATCAACATGAGATATGAATCATGAATAAAGTTAACTAGGCAAATGGGAAGTTGGAAGGGAGTAATTTCAGAAGAAATAGCACAAGCTATAGGGCCATGACAAATATGGTACATTTGAGGAGAAGAAAGAAGAGCCGGGGGCTGTCTTGTGATGAGCAGAGAGGATAAAGTGAGACTGACTGGGTATGAGGGCGGGGCCCAGTCATTCAGAGTCTGTAAACTTCTATTAAGCATTTTTATTTTTATGCTAAAGGTAATGGAAAACTGGTAGTTTCAGATGCAGAAGAATTTGATGCGCAAAAAAAACCAAAATTCAACAGATGAATTTTAAGACTTTTCTGGCTTTATTTAACATTTTATGATTAGGCAACATCCAACCCAGCAGATAGAAAGGATTTGTACAAAATGAAAGATTTGTATAGGCAAAAGAGATAAACACGGCTATGGAGGGCAAAAGAGTAGCTTGGTTATTGCAAGGTTACGCCCTTGTAGATGATAGGGGACTATTAGTTAAGATTATCTAACTGGTATCTGGCAGGTGATTTCTCATTGATTAAGATTGATTTATAGGAAAGCTGAAACTAATGAAGTTGATTTGGTCACTTGGGCTTCAGCAAAAGTAACTGCCTTTGGGCCTGTTTTCTTGTTTCTAAGAGGTACATACCATGATTAGATTGGGTTTTGAAAAGGTCTTTCATGGTAGAGATAGATTGGAGAGGACCAGTGGGAGCATGAGCAAATCAGAGAAGAGACTTTCAGCCAGTTGTCAAAAGCTTCTAATGGTAGTGATAATAGCAGTGATGGAGGCCTGAGTACTGAGGATGTGGGGATGTTTAATTTGATGGGTGGCAGTAGGAGCCGGGTTTGCAGGGGAAAATCACAACTTCAATTTTGGATGTGATGTATTTAAGATTCCTTGGATTTGTAAAAGAGGAGATACCAAAGAGGCCCTGTTTCTGGCTTTTGATCACTGATTTTATTTTATTGTAAATCTATGAACCAAATGAGTGTTTGACTGATAGTCTGCTTAAAATGTCAAAGGAATGCCTTCCATTCAGTTAGACCGATTATAGCCACTCTTTCTCAGAGACTGGGATATGGCAAAACCAAACCTTAAAATAAATCCTCACAATACATAGTATGACAACTGTAGTTGAGAATACTATGTCTATACAATTCAAATTTGGGATCTTAAGCATTCTCTGTAGTAGCAACAAGAATTGGTAAATATGTGAAGTGAAACAAATTCTTGTGAAAGGTAAAAAAATTAATTTTTAATATTTTGGTAAGTTGACTGCTTCACAGATTGGCTCTTAGTTCATTAATTTTTGGTGCTTTAGATTATTTCCATAGGATATCAGGGGAGAGGATGTATAGAGATAAATATTTAGGATTCATCTCTACATGGCTTGTAATTAATGCTGTGTATTGATCAGATTACCTATGGAGGCAGTCTACTCTAAGAATATAGGTGACCAAGGACCAAAACTTGAGGAAGTCTTATATCTTAAAAGATAGAAAGCACAGAGACTTGAAATGATGCCTCACAACGATGAGTGCCTTGAGATGTAGGAGGAAAATCAGAAGAGTATGAAATAATAGAATTCAAGGGAAATGACCAAAATGGAAGTCTACTGAGAAGTCAATGAGCTGAGGATAGAAAATAATATCTACTAGATTTAATGATGATACTAATTGATGATTTTTAAAAATGCCATTTCAGTGTAGGACAAAGTCCAGATTGCTAGAGTAGAAGATGAAGAAATGAACAGTAAATAGAAAGGCCCCTTTCAAGATGTTTGATTATACAAAGATCAAGATATTTGTATAAACTTTTTTTGAAAGTATAGACTTTTAAAAGAAAATATTTGCCTTAGAAATATTTCATACACTAAATATTTAGTCATATACAATATCAAAGTAGCATAGGAAATTAGACAAATTTATATTAAAACCTTGACATTCACTTATTAGTTTTGAGAACTTGGTTAAGTTATTTAATTTTTTTATTTATAAATGTAAACATATAACAACTTCATAAGGTCCTTTAAGGATTGAATAAATCAAGTAAACCTCTTGATTGTTGATTATAACTTTGTTTGAAATCTAGAAAATATTTTTATTTTCCTTGCTTAAATACAAATTATAAGGTGAATTTCTCTTTGAAAACTAAAAATTAGCAGTTATTTTCAGATAGCTGCAACTGTTTTAAGAGATGTACCTTTTAAAAAAACACATAAAAGTATTTTAAAAGTAAGATGTAAGTAGTAAAAATATAATGAACATCAATCTATAGCTTAAGAAATAAAATATTTCAAATAGAACTGAAATTCCTCTTCACCCAAGTTATATTTATATATGTAGTAACTTCATATGAAATAAGGAATTTGGAAGACCAGAAAATCCTTTGAAGAACGATCTTAATGGCTCTTTGGTCTTTATTTTTAAACAAGCTAATAACATTGTACAAGGTGACATATCCGGCAGAATGAATATGTCTTTTGTGAATAATTTACTCTGGAAATCTCATAAGCCCTACAAAACTTGAGAGTATGTCTAACTTCCTCTTTTGATAAATAGCTTCTGTGCATTGCATAAGAGCATGTACATGTACTTTTTTTTTTACCATTTTTCTTTTCTTACTGCTATATTTCAAAAGCAAGAGTAGTACATTTATTTACATTGACTTATTCATTATGAAGAGGATATCTTTACTAAATGAATATATGTAGTACCATAGTTAAAGTTAAATGCTAAATTTTATTTTGTAGGCATGTAATTTTTTTTTTAATTGAGGTAATTCTAGTTTATAAAACTGTGTATGTTTTAGAACTATAGGTAAGGGTGTCCAGTGAACTATGTTGGAGAGTTACTAGTGCGTGGTGGTGGGCGTAGTATGGTAACATATTTGAATAAATGTGTACTAAACCTGTCATTTTAATAACTTGAGTACACATTTGCATAAACCATCTTGGGTAAAGGAAGGATGTTGCTACACAAAAAAGAAATTCATCTCCATGAAAATCATTTAGAATATATTCTTTTTTGATTTTCAAGTGATTTATTATATTGCCTTGAAATAAACAAAGCTATGTAGCAAATATGTCTGTTGTATCATTTTGAAATTGATATATTTTTTAACATTAAGTAATGTTAATTATACAGAAATAGCCACACATTACCATGTAGAAACATTACTGGTTGTCTTTATTGTAATGTAACTGAAATAATTAATATTCATCAATTTCTAGTACAGTGTATTATAGGAATTAATCACATACAGTTCTTACACAGGTGTTAGACATTCCCAGTGTTCAATTTCAAAGCAATAGCAACAATAATATTGACTGCATATTTATTCTGGTAAGATTTATATTGTTTGGGATCTTCTGAGGTGTAAAAGGGAATTAGAAAATAAAAGATCCAGCTGTAACACTTTTATTCTGGAGATGATTATTGTATAGTTATTGGGAGGTGAGGGTGGAGGGGAGAATTGGAAAACAGGTCAAGGATTCCCCGCTACATTCCGATTTGCTCCTTCATGGTTTGTTCCCTCTGCCCCTACGCCAGAATGACCTGACCTGTGAATTATATGCAGAGATACCAATACAGTAGGGTCATGGGTAACACCTCAAAATGATGTTTCTCTTTGCTAACATAATTTTATAATGCATTGTATTTAATAAATAGCATTATTGTGTGCTCATAAGACGTTTGACCTGAAGTAAGTTAACTCTTATAAACCCACAAATTTAAAAAAATAGTGATTGTAGAAAATTAATTTCTTATTCTACTTATATTATGTTGTAATTTATTGTACTTGAAACAAAAGTATATCCTAAGTAAAATATCTTAAGGTTCAAAAAGGCCTTGTCTTTTAGACATAAAAACTAGGGGTTTTGAGTTGTAGTTATAAAAAGTTACAGAATTCGAATTTATGTTATATGAAGTATTATCTAATTGTTTTGTTTGTTTATTACAGTTGCTAAAACATGGAAGTCACTTTCCAAACATGTAAGTTAAAGCTCTGGGTGTACAGATGGAAGCAACCCATATTTGTACATGTATGTAATATGTGATATATACATATTTTTCTTGAAAGTTAAGTCATATCAAAGTGCCACTTTTTTTTAACCCTCATTGTCAGAAAATAAAAAGGTGAACAACACCAAGGACTGATGAAGAGATGGATCAGTGATAACTCTAATGTGCAAGTATAAATTGGTGTACCCGTTTTGGAAAACAGTTGGGCACTATCTGCTAAAATTAAAGATATGCATACATATAACTAGCATTTACACTTTTGGGTATAAAGTCTACAATAATGCTCGCACATGTACCTAGTAAAGTTGATTTTGAAAATCAAAATTGACCTTATAATTTCACACCAATGTGTATATTCCTAGAAAAAACCCTTACTTATATGCAGCTGTATTTCATAAAAAAGTCGTAGATTCACACAGATATGAAGAACACTATTTGACCATTAAAAAATATATATGTATCACACAGATTAAAAAAAATCACACAGATTAAAAAAAAAAAGTCATAGATTGTCCATGATGGCCCAAAACATCATGATAAACTATTAGCATAAGAAATGATAAATAAATTGTGATATGTTCATGCAGCAGAAAATATAACAGTGAAAACAAATGAATTAGAGCAATGTTTTATCTAGGTAAGTTCAGAAACATGATAGAAAAGCAATTCAGAAAAATATAAAGTATCATTTCATTTATATAAAGTTCCAAACTGAAGAAATGAAGCCATATTGTTTAAGGATATACTTATAGGTGGGAAAACTAAACAATGATAAGTATAAAATTAAAGGCAGTATTTGCCCCTGGGTAAGAATGAGGAAAATTTCAGTGAGGGCAGAAAGAGACTCCTAAAATTCTGGTAGTAGTCTGTTTCTTAACAATTTGTAACTTTAAATTACATATATGTGTGTGTGCGCGCGTGTGTGTCTGTGTGTGTGTGCGTGTGTGTGCGTGCGTGTGTGTCTCTGTGTGGTGTCTGCCTTTTGTACTTTTGTCTGTATTAGAGACTTGAGTATAAAGTAAAAAAACAATATTAGCAATCTTGGGAACTTCCTTAACTAGTTAAACAGAATCCTTCAAAAGGCTATATTAAACGTTTATTTATGAAATTTTAGAGATACTCTCTTAAATTAACTCTAAAGCGTCTCCGTGTAATGCAACTACTTTACACCTCACCTAACACAGGTCTAAGCTAAAGGAGTGCATTAATTTGCCCTGTTGGCTCAAACAGTAGAACCTCATTTTCTCACAGTTTCAGAGACCAGAAGTCCAATTTTCAAGGTCTTGGCAGGCTTGGTTTCTCTTCTTCATCACTTATTTTATGTTTAGACTCTGGACAAATACTAAGTTTGTTGGATGAATGAGAATAAATACAGTGGTATCTCAGGTCTCTTAACTAGACAAAATTTTTCATAGATGTTTAAATATTGTTTATCTACTTTATAACTAAATAGCTTACCTATTAATCAATATTATGATACCTTATATCATAGGAATTAAGTCATATGCTCTCAGAAACGCCTCCTGTTTGGAAGGGCTCATCAAAGCTATTTCGAAATCTTAAAGAAAGAGGTAAGTTAATGTAGTACTTATGTGTTTTATTATTGATATTATGTCATGTATACTAGTCGTTTACACATATTTTCATCATACATAAAATAATTTTACAGTTACATGTGTGTCTGCATGTACTAGAAAATCTGCAAATAAAAATAATAAAATAGTAATAATGATCCTTTTTGGGTAATATGTTTAAGGGTGGTTTTTATTTTGTTCAACTCCAGACCAGGGAACTGACCCACGTGGTGCAGCAGACCTCTTCTGTCTCACCTGCTGTCCCCCTCGGCAGTGTATTTCAGTCTGCCTGTTCTGTTCCCCACTCTGTCTCTGTTGAGTCCTCTCATCCCCTAAACCGCTAGCCTGCACCCCAGCTCATGTATAAATAAATTTTAAAAATCTGAAAAAATAAGATTACCATTAAAATCTTAGAGTAGATGATAGGGTAAGAAAAATTTAAAGCTCAGAAGGATCAGGTAAGTCTGTGAATGTATAAACTATTTCCTTAATACTCTTGTAGGAAGATAGAAATTGGATTAAACATACTTGGAGAAAAATGAATGCACTGAAGAAGGAATTTTTTTTTAATTAAGGGTATTGTTAAATCTGGAAGCATGGGTTTAGGCATGTCCTAATCTTCTTTGTGTTATATTCATATTTACATATTTTTGTTAAGAAAGATGACCTATTTAAGTATTACCCAAATAGAACAAAGCAGTTCTATTTGCAGTGATGTAAATCTGTTTTGGTTTGGTCGCCATTTGATAGCCACAAGTCAAATGTGGGGTATCAAGGGCCTGCAGTGTGGTTGCTGTAACTGAGAAGTTGAATTTTATTTTTTTAATTTTTAATTTTTATTAAAATTGCTACATGTAGTTAATGGCTACTATAGATCATTGAAGATCTGTCACAGTAACTGGATTATCAAAAGAATCCATGTTCCAAAAAAGTTTTAGAACCATGAGCTTAGGTAAAATAAATTGTTAGAGGGCCCTTTTTTTTTTTTTTTTTAAATAAAGACATTAAGTGGCAGAGGAATTTTAAAGCTGAATATTGAGAGTTATTGAAAATTAATTTTAAAATGGATCTAGTTGCTCAAAATACTGCCCAGCAAGAAAATGTTGAGCAGGTTTACAAAAAACTAATTGGTATACAACATTTATGAAAAAAGATGTATTGCACTGAGTTAGTTTTAATAGCCAATTGGACGGATATATACTGGCTCTAAATAGAGTATAATGCTTTTTTTTTTTAATAATAGTTTATTTTTACATCATTTTGTGCCTTTTCCCTTTTTTTGTCTTTTTCCATCTCAGTTGTAATCCCCGTAGGCTTCCCATCACCAATCATCTGTGTGACATAATTATAGTCCAGTGCACTTCCCTCCCCCCATTGTTTTTGATCCCATTCCCACTCCACCCCCACAAAATGTCTTCGGTATATAGCTGTTCATTGTTATTATTATTTTCTCACCTGGTCCTTTAAAGAGTATAATGCTTTTTTTTTTTTTAAAAGATTTATTTATTTATGCATACAGAACTGGGGTACAGGCCAGAGTTGCAGGGGCGGTGAGAGGCTTCACCAGAGACAGAGCAGGGAGCAGAACAGGCAGATCAACGAAGTACACTGCTGAGGGGAGCAGCGGGCGGGTCAGGAGAGGCCTGCCACGCCATGTGGGCTCCTCCTTGGCAGGCGGGAATCGAACTCATGCGGAAGTGGCTTTAGCTTCTCAGTGCTGTGCTTTAACCGCTGCGCCACCAGGGAGGGCCAAGAGTATAATGCTTTTAAGGAACTTTTCTTAGAATTTTTAAAATTAAATTTCCAAAAGAAAACTAGTTAGCATTTATTTTTATCTATTTAATTTTTTAACTTTAAAATAATTGCAGCATGGGGATTACAACCAAGATGGGAAAATGCACAAAATGAAGAATGATGTAAAAATAAATAAATAAAATATATTGCAGAATTAGCCTTTTTCCATTTTTGTAATTGGAAAGCATTAAGAATCTACAGTTCATATTCAATCATATTGTCTCTTTTCCTTGACCATTTTTATTGAGTTATATCATGTGTTTTCACTTTGTTCTCTTTCCTGTGGATTACCCCACCTCAGAACCCATTAGTCCTACAGACAAGTTCCTGTCATGATAATCAGAATCAGTCTAACTAATCCTTCACTGAGAAAAATCTTGTTAATTATCAACCAAAAGACATACAGCAGTAATTACACTTATTTATACCAAGCAAAATAACTTATGTATTCAAACATATCAGGACAACAGTGATGGAATTGTGGAGGCGGAGAGCCTATTTCCTAACCCCATTTCCCTTTTTCATGCCTACATTTGTGCTTGCTTTTCATTTCTGAGGAGTCCCTATGAAATGTAGGTATTGTTTCTTTATATACATTCAGCATTTCAGAAGCTTTCTCCCATAACATTCATGGCAATCAACCAGAACCATCTGTCTATAGGTCATGATACTCTAGTATAAACAAAAGAAGGGAATGCTTTCAGGTCTCCTCCTAGCTACCTTCACATCTTCTGACAAACTGCCTGACAGTGACCCCTCTTCTCTTTGTTCTGTAACAAAGAGGACAGCTTAGAAGCACATCAGATAGAGTAGAGTTTTAAAGGTCACAATCTGACTAAGAATTTTTTTTTTAATATCCTTTACCAAATATCCGGACTACCTTATATATAAATAAGGGTTGTTAGCTTATTCTTAATTTTAATTTTTCCAGGATTCACTTAGAATCTCAATCAAACCATTAATTATAATTTTGGGTGTTATAATCCAAAAATAAGAATATTAGTTATGTAGAATGTATATTTTTATTTTCTGAATAAATACCTTTTACGTTTGTAATTTTGAGATTACCAACGATTCAGGATACAGTGTGCAGAAAGAATAAGGCCATTTAATTAAAAATCCTTAAAGTAGGCCCTCTCTGGTGGCGCAGTAGGTTAAAGTGCAGCACTATGAAGCTATCCTCAGCCATGGCAGCATGAGTACTATCCTGGGCCAGGGAGGTGGCCCACATGGCACAGCAGACCTCTCTGGACCTGCGCACTGCCCCCCTCAGCAATGTATTTCAGTACATCTGCCTCTTCTGCTCCCTGTTCTATCTCTGGTGAATCCTCTCATCCCCTTCACCTCTGGCCTGTACCCCAGTTCTTGTATGCATAAATAAATAAATCTTTTAAAAAAAAAACCCAAAGTAAAACTAATAAAAGAATTTAGTTTACCAAGGATAATAAATAATTTAGAAGCAGGAGAGCCATAAACATAGCGCTTTATTTTTTTAATGTCCTACGGAAATCAAATTTCTAAGCAAGAGTGTCTAAATGTTTTATTCAAGTATTAGGAAGAGTCTCCTTGGTAGCCTATGGGTTAAGTCTCAGTGCTGTCACCACTATGGCCTGAGTTCAATCTCCAACTAGGTAACTAACATACATGTTGTGCATGAGACCTTTCCTTCCCACCCACTGCTCCCCTCAGCAGTGTGTTTAGTAAATCTGCTCACTCTGTTCCCCATTCTATCTTTGGTGAATCTTCTCACCAAATACACCTCTGGCCTATGCCCCAGCTCTCTTATATGAAGATAAATAAAACCTTCAAATAACAAAAACAATGTTTTTTAAAAAAGGTATTACTAAAAAGTAAGTACATAACAGTGTTAACCATTTCCAACCTTTAAATATCATGCTATATTTATGCTTTGAAAACTACTAACAAGTTTATAACGTACAGCTATAAGTAAAAATAATTTTGCATATTTTTGGTCAATATATCTGAGAGCATTAATGGAAATTTTATATTGGTTTCTACAGAGGCGTGTGAAGCAAAGTAATTTTGTTGCTATGATTTATAATAATAGTTTAAGATAAACTATTATTTAAGATAATACTTAGCATTTCCTTTAAAACTGTAAGTTGTTTATTATTACTTATGGATAATAAGAATATTTTAGTTGAGAAATAATACATTTTATATATAACATAAGATATAATATATAACTTTCTTATTTTTTAGGTGTGATTTCTTACACAGAATATCTTTTTCTTTTATGTATTTTAACAAGTAAGTGTATTTATTGCATCTACTTCTGGATAGTTTTTTTTATCAGAATCTTAGAAAACAAATCTTTCATAGATTCTCTTACTTTAGTCTAACTATGCTGTTTTGCAAATTTAACAGTCAGCAAAAAATGATAGCACTATCAAAAGTGAAAAGATGTAGATATTATTGTGGCTTGTAATATAGTAATAAAACACACAGACACTATAACTTAGTATTCTATATCCATCCTGTGGATTAATCTCCAGAAGTGCACCAAGGTCAGTACCTGTAATGATTTGTAGCTTTCCTGCCACATTTATTCAAATCACATTTTCTGCAAGAACTAATGTGGAAAAATAAGTATTTTTTTACTGGTTAGTCAGAATATCCATCAAACATCTTAAAGCAGCTTTGTTATTCTCTTCCTCTCATGTATACTGATTTTTATGAAATATTTATAGGGCTTTACTAAAGTTACTAAGGTCTCAGTTAAATTGTATTGTGGAACTTATATACTGTAGTTCACTGTGCTTTAGCCACTGACTTTTATATTCAGTGAATTCCCAACTTAGGAATTTGTAAACTCAGTAGCACATATCTTCAAGACCCTTATGATAATAAATATCATTCAGGTTTCCCTTGAAATGTGAAGACGGAGAATTCTTATTGGACCATTCTTCCTAAAATAGCTTCCTTTCCCATTTTTCCTTTGTTTATTCCTTTACCACATTTCCTTTTCTTCAGAGCACTTATAATAATTGAAAATATTTGTTTCTTCTGCCTCTCTACCTTTGAAATGAAAGTCCATAATGTCAAGGATTTCATCTTTTTTTGTGTTAATTGCCTGACACATGGTAACGTCTCACAAAATAGTTGTTGAATTAATGGATGAATTTCATTAGTAGAATTTCTAGTGGTAGGGATTTATTGGATATGTGAAAATAAAAAGTCAATGAAACTCAATAAAAACAAGTATTTTATAAAATAGTGATTATCTTGTTTTAGTCATACAGATGTAATAAAATATGTGGGTGGTGTGCGCATGCACACATGTAAGATGCACTGAAAAGCAGCAAGTGTTTCACTTCTAGTAGGACTTGATGAAGTTGTTCAAGACTGGAAAGTCCAATCAGTAATGCTTGCTACTATGAAAACCAGAGAAGTAGGTGTCAAGTGTCACAGAAACTTGTTAAAAAGCTATTTTGTGGCCCTCCCTGGTGGCACAATGGGTTAGGATGCAGCACTGCAATCTAGCCACAGCTGCTGAAGTGCGAGGTTGATCCCCGCCCCGGAGGTGACCACATGGCAAAGCAGACCTCTCCTGACCCGCCCGCTGCTCCCCTCAGCAGTGGATTCATGGAATCTGCCTGTTCTGCTCCCCACTCTGTCTCTGGTGAATCTTCTCACCAACCCTGCACCACTGGCCTGTACTGGCCTGTATTCTGTATGAATAAATAAATAAATCTTTTTTTAAAAAGCTATTTTGTTACCTAGATCAACATATTATATATACAAATTATATATACAAAGTTACAAATTATAAATACTCAAATCATCCCGAGCCTAAGCAAGAATAAAATAGAACTGGTTAGAAAAGGTACTTGTTGGATAGGGTGGAGATGTAGTTAAAGAAATAGGGAAAAACATTGAGTGGTTACTACTTACTGTAGAAAGATTAAGATACTGAGTGTGTGAATCTTCCTTCAGAGTACAGGACCCATTTTAGAAACTTCTAGTTGGAAGTGAAAAATTATTGGTCTTGTTTAGATTAGAAACAAAAAAAAAATTGTGAAAAGAAGGCTAGCAAGAAGTTGCCCGATCGCCTTACCTATGTTGCCAGTCCATCATTTTCTCCTGTTACCTTCTATTATTTTAGCTTTATTTTTCCTTCCAAACAATGTTTATAATGACTCAAGCTTTGCATTTTTTCAAGATCTTTTTAAAGTATAAATTGGTTGTCGAGAATTGTGTAACTTTATTTCTTTATCAAGTAAATGAAAATAAATGTATGTTTGGATTCCTAAAATACATGCAAGATATGAATTCGCATTATAGACTGACTTCCAATCCATTATTTTCAGGGACAGCTGTTACTGGTTAAGAAAGCAGGGCTGTGTACTTCTCTTTCCATAAAGTCAAGGTCTCAGAACAGGCTGTGGTAGGTGTTACCAGTGGGAGGTCTTTTTTAAATATTTGCCAGTCTTCTGTAAAGGGAAGGTCAATTTTTTTGAAAAAGGCATACACACCAAGCTATTCTTGGACAGACAAATTCATGTTTTCTTCTGTCAGAATTTTCTTTATGATTTAGAATTTTTATTTGTTGATAGAACCTCTTTATAAAGTTTTAAAATTAAAGAGGTCATAGTGTGTGAAGGTCTGTCTTTCTCAGAAAAGCAATTGCCCCTCGCATTCTGCTTATGTTCAGAAGCCTCTAGAAAGTTAAATTCAAATAGGTAATTTGTCATGCTTGATATTTATTTTCATAGGTCATTTCCACTATTACTTCCCAAGACTCTGAACTGGTCCATTGTGTCATATTTGATATTTTATTCTGCTCTAAATAGTTGGACATATTGAAAATTCCTTGAATGCGATCTGCTGTTACTTTCCTTTTATAAAAGCTGACAAACTTTGGATAAGAAAGAGAAATATATATTGTTAAAAGGAAGGTAGTCAAATTTTTCTGTCAGTGCTATGCAACATGTATTGCATAAATACTTATAAAATGCATTATTAGAGTGCAAATAAGCACCCACTAAATGTGTCAACATATGAAGCAGAACTGTTTATGCTTCTTGGTTACAGAAACTATTTTTGTATGGAGAATGAATAACTTTACAATTAAATGAATTTTGTATTTTAAAATACATTTTTCTATTTTTCGTTCTTTCTGGCAGAGCCACATGCAGGCTTTAGGATAGCTTTCAACATGTTTGACACTGATGGCAATGAGATGGTGGATAAAAAGGAGTTTTTGGTGGTATGTGCATGACAATACTGTTTTTTATCAATAATTGGAATTAGTTCTATTTTTGTATTACATTATTTGGAATGTTGTTTAAAGCTTTGATTTATGATTTCACCGTAATTTTGTAATAAGTTTATTCTTGTGTGTACTTTAAATAATGAAGTTATACTCTGTGTGTAAAATGATTATGGTTGTTTACACATTTTCTGGGCATTGGAAATATGTGAAATATCTTCCATTGGGTGGATAATAGACCCAGTTGATGTTCAGTCCCCAACACATCAGCTACCCAAGCATAATTTTTTTGCCAAAGAAAACCCTTCCTTTTCATTATAGAACTAATTGTTTTTCTTTTTCCTTTTCTCTTCCACTCATGACTGTTAAGTTCCAGTCCTATTCCCATTTTCCTATCCCTTTCTCCTGTCTTCGCCCAAGTTGGTCTAAAGTGTTGGAAAAGTAAGATTGTGCTTTGATATTTGTCTGGCTTTCTCATTTGACTGGTCTAGCACTGATGCTGCTCTGGAATAGTCATTAGCTGCTTGCTCTTCTAACCACCAATCTCCTATTCTAGAATTTCTATTCCTTTTTTTCCTCATGTATCTTGAATCTACTTCTGTGGCAAAAAATGCCTATTCTGTTTTCTCTCCAATATAGATGTTAATATTAATCTATCCTTAAAGTTGCAAGGTCTGCCCTAGCATTTATGTCCAACTCATATTTACCTATATTCTTCTAATAAAAAGAAAAGGGAATGTTGGCATATAAATAGCTATTCTGTTTTCAATTTTGCTTTGTTAACAGCCATTAAAAATCCCTCAGAAAAATCTCCTAAAGAGAGTATTATTGTCTTCAGAGGCTGTGAAATCATTCTGTTCCAGGACAGGAAAAAGAAGAGTTTAAAATTCTCATCAAAAGCTGGGGCCTCCCAGGTGGCGCAAGAGGTTAAAGTACAGTACTATGAAGCTATTGCAGCCACTGAAGCACAAATTCTACCCCTGGCCAGAGAGGTGATCCACATGGTGTGGCCGACCTCCTCCTGATCCACCACCCACTGCTTCCCTCAGCAGTGTATTTCACTACATCTGCCTGTTGAGCTCCCCACTCTGTCTCTAGGGAATCCTCTTACTCCCCACACCACTGGCCTGTACCCCAGGTCTGTGTATATAAATAAATAAAATCTTTTAAAAAATTCTCCTCAAAAGCTAATTAGTAGCCATTTAAAAGGAAGTAAGACTAATTACTGGGCTCTATCGAAAGTTTTAATCTAACACCCACATAGCTTTGCCTGGGTACCATTCCTGAGCCAAACTGTGGGCTCTGGAACCATGAAGGATCCCTCCATTCTAGTACTTTGCAGAATGTTGGGTCACTGAGAGATTTTAAGTTTCATTACGTTAAATAAAGACCTGTTTGTAACATCCTAAAGCAGACAGATATAGTTTAATATACTTTGGTTATAGTTGGCACACAACTCTGTTTTAAAGCTTTGAGAATGGGCTTGTAATCGAATTTTCAAAAGCATTCTATGGCAACATGGCTAAGTTCCACCTCATTGACTTGAAGGTTGTTGACTTACAGAGCTCGGTCCACTGGAAGCTGCTCACATACTGATAGATACCTTTTGGAACAATGTGAAGATGGGAGCTAGAAACGTTTACATTGCACTTACACTCTCTTCTTGTGAGTTCTTACAAAAGCTGCCCTTGCTTTCAAATAATGTCCGGTTGTTAGCAGTGTCTGTGCTGCTGCCTCATGTGTGAGTTTTGTTCAGTATTTGTTTGTAAACAGTAAAGAGCCCCTGAAAGCAGTAGGTGGAGTTGGGCTTAAGTTATTTGTGTAGAGCTCTAAAACCTGTGATTTTTTTTCTTCCTTCTTGTGACTATTAATAACCTTTGCTAGAGACTCTTCTTCCTTAAGGAAAAAAAAAAAAAAAGTATGGCAATACATTCATTTGTTAATGAAGTCATTCACAATTTGTACTATATTTATAATTCTTGTGTATATATATATCTTTAGTGGTAATGGATCTTATTTGATTTTAAATTATTGCCATGTAAAAAGAAATGAATTGGTGAGGTCACTGTTCAAGTTACACAGAAGACCGTGATAGAATCAGTCTTTTATTTGTAAAAAGGATTTTAAAGCTTAAATTTACTGAAAAGTTATCTTGTGCAGGTAGTGTGCTAGGTAATTACTTGCAATATTCTACACAGATGTTTTTATAAGAGCTGCCTTTTACACACCAGTAAAGCTAGAGAAAAGAATTTTCCTACAAGGTAAGAAATTGCCTTCGTATTCATGTCATGAAAAATAAGCTTAAGTTATTAGAGAAATTATTCAAGTAAATGCCTGAGCAGAGGCCATCTCCCACCACTATGCCCAGTTACTTGAAAGACATTAGAGGCCACCTTATTCATCTTTGTTTTATGCATGAGCAAACTGGATCCCAGGGACATTCATGTGACCTGTACACAATCATAAAATTAGTGGGTGACACAGGTAAACTTAGAGTCCCTGAGTTCTATTCCAATTTCTGTACCCCAGCAGATTTCATCTGTTTTTATGTGCTGCACTGAACCTATGTCTTGTGTCTTTAGAGATAAAGTAAAACTATAAGTTAGTACATTTGACTTAAATAGGAGTTGCCAGTACCAAAGAATATATTTTCTTTTTTTCAGGGGAAAAATGGTAACTACATTACTACATTACTATATTAAAATTATTACCTTACTGTTAATATTCTTGGTGGTTAAAGCTAACTTTCACCTTTGTTTTAGACTAAAACAGCACTGGTTAGTAGATTGGTACCCAAAAAGTCTTTTTGGATATTTGATTCTTAATTTGTTTCCTTCTCAGCTTCAAGAGATCTTCAGGAAAAAAAATGAAAAGAGGGAAACTAAAGGAGATGAAGAAAAACGTGCAATGCTGGTAAGAATAATTTATAGTAATTTCAGGTGGGTTCTCTAGGTAAGAATTAGTTTATTCATGTTGAGAAGTAATAAGTTAAGTCTATAACTTTGGAATTGTCCCTTTTTTAAAACTTTCTAAAGTTCTTATGTAGAAAAAGTGCTTCAGTATTTATATGCATCTGTATCAATATTTATTTAGTCAATAAATATTGATATTAAATATCTGTATTCATAACACATTCATTAAATCATTTTCACCCATACTGTTGCTATCCATGAAATTTGAAGGGTTTGTCATGTAATAGATTAATACAGATCATTATGCATGTGAAAATTTAAAGGTGAATTGCAAAGATTTAATTATACATGAGATTAAGCTTAGTGATATTGTAACAATATGAATGATGAAGAAAAACTTGTTTTTCTGAATTGAGAGAAATATATATTATAAAATCTCTTGAGATGAATCATATTTTTATCTTATTATGAAATCATACTTAAACATTTCTCTCCACTTATTACCAGTTATCTTTTTATTTGTCCCTAGAATTTTAACCTGGTAACATCCCCAGGTTCACATAATAGAAATAATATCCTAAAACTTTACTATCAGATATTGTACCCAGGTGCTTTGTATGCATGTTTCAATTTGAGCTATCCAGCAGTTCATTATCTGTAAATACATATGAGAAAACTGACAGTTGGTAAGGTTAAGTATAATGTCAAATATTACATAGCTATCACTTGGCAAAATTGAAATTAAGGCCGTGTCTGGCCAACTCCAGAGCCTGTACTTTTTACCCACCACAGCATATTTATTTATTCATCTATCTGGTCCTCAGATTGCAGGAACATGGTGAATTTCATTGACATGCAAATGATAATTGTTGCATCTGCAAATTACCTGTGTAGGTAATTTGGTTAATTGTAAAGTAGGTTAAAATTGTTGTATGTGGAATTGGAATAATTAACTTAAGAGAGATGCAACCGTTTTTACTAGTTTTTTCGTTATATGGATTTTTAAAAAACATGCCATGTTAAATCCCACTATGATTAGTATATTTATATTGATATACAGGATTATTAGGGTTATTAGGATTATGAAATATATATTCATATTCAACTATGTAATCATAATTATATAATTATAGATAAAACTATAATTATCAATATTTATTGGTTCCCCCACTATATATACTAATTGAAAAAAGTTATGGAAGATACTCTTAAAAACTCAAGAAATTATTAATGTTAGTCAGGTATTATGAGGGACAGTAGGAGTTCTCTAATTTAGTTCTCATGGTTTTCAAGTTGTAGTTAATAAATCCTGTTTGAGTTAATCCCTAATTTTTAAAAAATGTTTTAAAATCTTAGCAAACAAGACTAAAGAGTTGAATACCCATTTTATCTTCTATGGATAATCTCTTCTATATTGAAAGATAAACAGTTATTTTGATTTTGGTAGGGTAGCTATCATTGATTGAACAGACATGTTATATATAATAAAATATCATTTAGGAGATTGAATTATGTAATGAATCTTTTGTTTTAGCTCAGTGATAAAGTAGGTAATATTTCAATGAAAAAAAAATTAAAACTGCTTTATAAACTGCTTTCTTTGTTTATTTTTGCTACTTCCAGGAAGGACTTAATGGATCTTCCACTAAAAATGCAATACTGTCCTAAACATTAGCATTTACTTAAGTACATAACTCAAGTAACATAGGGAGAGAAAAATGGGAAAAGCAGCCGCAGACAGCACACACTGGCGAATGCTGCATTATCAGTGCAGTATTCAGTTCTGAATTTCATTGCAGCCAGGGTACAGTAAGTCTAATGCAAACATCAAATGGCGATATAATAAAAATATCATTGACTAGGATTAATTGGAGAAAGTCCAGCTGAATTATGAAATCTCATTTACATCAGCATACCTTAAATTATTTTATTTCAATATACAACAGTGAAGTATTCTCTAGAAAATATATGGAGGAAGACATTTGTTTTAAAACAACAGGTAAAAGTAACTCACACGACTTGTTCATATGTAAAATCTCGGATCTCCTCAAGTACCTCAGAGGTATTTTTATTACATACGTTAAATCGTGCTCCTGAAATCTCAGTTATGTTTTTTAGCCTTCAGAACTTTTCCTTAAGACAGTTCAGAAGTAATCATTAGCATACATAAGCTCTGAACTAAGTAGCACTCTATGACAATGAACTCTCTACAAATGTTCAGTACTAGGTTTGATAATAACAATTATTAGTGGTAATTTACTGTTCACAGTTGTCACATTAATAAGGTAAATCTGAATGGATGAGATTTTTGAGTTTTAAAGCAACTGAACTTTTTTACAGTGAAAATACGTGGATTACAGTCAGGAGAGTGTAGCACAGGCTTAGTGGCCAAATGTCCAGAGTTGGGAAGTAGCTGTGCCTTTCCTGGCCTCGGTGATCCTGAACAAGGGATCCGTCATCTCTTGGAGGCTGTTTCTAGCTGGACGATTGGGCTACTGCGCCTAATGATCACAAGTGATTTGTTACAGGTGGTGAAGTGAGCTAAAACAGGCAGCCGCAAAAAAACTAGGTAACTGTGAGGCTTACAGCTCTCACTTAACCAGTACAACACAGTGTCTTCGAGTTGAGTATTTACATATCAAAATAGAAGTTAAATCAGAACTAATTTTAGAAATAGGTACATACCAAAGTAAAACCATGCTTCAGAAGGAAATGTTTTCTTGGGATATTTATATGCTGAGCTCTGTGCTACATCCATTATAAATGTTGACTCCTTAATTTCTCTCAGGTAAGTATTATACCTGTCTACCAGATGAGAAAACTGTCTTAGAGAGGTAAATTCACTTGTATAATATCATAGAACTAGTAAAAGCAGAACAAGATTCCACTACCATTTCCACTGCCATATTGCTACCTTTCAATTTTTTTCCCTATTCCATGTAAAATTGCTGAAGCATGCCTAAATACCACATTCTTAAAAGGGACCATGTTTTGCTCGAAACAGTAGTTCTATAAGAAAGTTTATGGAAATGATTGAAATGAGCACAAATTCATGTAATGTTTAACTGTATGATTTTAAAAACTTTGCTACTCATCTTTAATATTTATCCTACTTGTATTGTATTTGTGCTCTATATAGACTGTAGCATAATGATTTGCCCTTCCTAATTGATTATTTTGTCATCTTTTTTCTTTTGCTATACTTGGGTTCATTCTGAAATGTGACACTTCATTTGGCCCTTTGTGCTCTATGTCAGCGTCTTCAACTTTACGGATACCATTCTCCTACTAATAGTGTATGTACAATACTTTCCACGTTCCTTATGTGACTAGCCCTTGCCTGTTATACTTGATGGTGTTATTTTTTATATAAAGCTCTACCTGATTTTTATAATGTTTAGGAATTTATTGAATATAATAGGTTCAATCAAGCAAAAATTTTGTATTTCCTCCCTAGATTGATGAGAAGACTAAGCTATACAGAGCAATACGGTATATGTAGATATAAAATAAGGGAGAGGTGAGTTGAATAATCACAACAGCGAAATCTTTGCTGCAGTCATCAAAATTTTACACATTTCTGACAGTATTTGAAGAATTAAGTACAAATCATGGGACATATCTCGGTCTGTGCTCCTGCTGACAGATATTTTAAGGAGCCCTATCCATCTGATATATAGTCCTTTCTCGTTTCTAGTAAATAACTATGTGAGTGGACAGGCTGTTCTTAGTTTTCAGTACTTCCCCCAGCTTATTGCCAAAACTTGGAGTAAGTTGGCTCTAATATGTTTACAACATCAGTGCATTATGCTATTTCTCAAAGAGGATTATCATTTTCAGACTCTTGCCCTGAAAAGATTGGAAGTTCTGCAAATGACCTACCAAATGTGTTCTTACTGTACTAACCTCTTTTTCTCCTGGAAAGTCAGAGCTTATTGTTAGCCCAGCTACTAAACAACTAAGGACATGAACAGCCACTTTTGAGTATAAACATAGACAGATCATTTTTAATTTGCTCAAGAATCCTTATGTCACTTAGAAAAATCCCTCAACTTATACAAATTCCACCTGTAAGAAGCCCTTGAGTACAGAATGACTGACTCCGTATTATCCTGCTGAAATACAAAGTATTTCAAAACAAAATATTTAAATTTTTTCCTATAAAATTCACTTCCTTAAATAAGACCTACCACTTTCTTTAAAATTTTAAAGGATTCTGTTAATTAACAGTAACTTTCAAAAAATGGTAAGAATGTATAAGATAAAAATCTCATATGCCATATGTCCTGTGAAACTTAATAATTGTTAGTAATGTTTATTCCTTTATTTCCTAATTTAATATGTCATTGCATGAGTCATTTTTCTAACCATGGCATTTTTTTCTTTTCCTTTAAACTCATAAATAATTTTCATGTAGATGATCTATGGTTTTGTAAAAGATATATTATGAAGTATTATTGTTAAAGGAAAGAACTACTATGCCTCTAGTTTAATATATACAAATTGTAGTCACTAAGGTATTAAGAGAATAATATTGAGAAGCAGATTTAAATGGTACATTTCATTTACGTTATGCTCATATAATATGAAAGTTTATAATTTTATATTTTATTGTGATGTATGTTTTGTTATTATTTATTTTAATGTACATCTTTTTATCCATTGAGAACATAAACTAATGTTAACTGTTTTTTTATAAGTATTGACAATATGATTTTTTTATTCCCTTACTTTAGTTGGATAACCAACTGATAATACTATTTTCCTCTAATAGAAAAAAAAATTGCTCAGAAAGGAATGATTCTTTAAAAAAAAAAAGAAACATAAAAGAATTTCTTAAATTAGGGGGAAATTCAGTCTAAAATTTATATTAAATATTATTGACTTATGTATAAAATTGTATATTAGTAGTTAATTGACAATGATCTGCTAGTTTCCAGAATTGTAAGTCAACTGGAATGTTAAAGTGTCTCATATGAGTACAATTCATAGACCTGAATATAACGTAGGATTCTACCTTTAGAAGACGTTTCTTCATGAAAGACAGTGGCCTTCTTGACTTATACTATGAAGGCAGAACTCCTATGAAATTCTACAAACAAACTCAGACCAAAAAAAAAAAAAACATACCTTAAAGAAATACATTAAGGACATTATTTTGCCTGTGTGCTCATCCATGGGGCTACTGTGTCTTCTTTTAATAAAGATCTTTACCTAACTTACCATTGTGGTAAGGAGGCCAAAAACTAGAACAGAAACCAGACTCTGAGGTGACTTCAGGAAGCCTTTGCACGTTACCCTACTATTTATCAAAGCATTATAGTATTTATTTTATAACCTCATAATGTTGAGTTATGTTTGGGCATTTTCTCCTGTCAGTCTTTTTGTAGCCTGTATGCATATATTCTGGTTTTTATTTGTTTTATACTTTTTGCTATTAAAATCTGCTCTGACTTTCATGACTAATCTTATTTTAAATATCCTACTAATTTTTTCTGGTATTAAAAGTTTTCTACTAGTTTTGCATATTTAAAAAAATCATTATCTTAACTTCATTCATTCTCTTAACATTGTAATCCAGGTCATTAATTAAAAATTAAATACTGGCTCCTCAAGAGCCAGTATGGGAATATGGGAATCAATATCTATGTCAGGAAAATCATGATGCATTAGCTGTTTTTCCTGTTGATTTTATATATTATTTCCTCAACAAAAGAATGATAGTACTTGCTATAAGAATATTGTCCCTTCTTTTAGAAACTTTATAAAGACTATGTAAGAGAAAACAAAAATAAATATGATCAGTTAACAACAATTCAGTTATGTATTCTGGCATAACTTAATCTTTGGAGCCAAATGAAAAGAAGGAAAGCTACCTGCAGGAAAGAATTATTCATATTAAGCTGTTACATCCTTTCTTGTCTCCATATGCCAAAATGGTATTGTATTTGTATGTTCTACAATTTCTTTGTTTAAAATTTGTATTTTATTCTGATAGGTTCATTATTAAAATACAAGAGAATAAAAGAAAGAAAATAAAAATCTTAATTCTACTACTCACAGATAATCAGTCTATATCTGTGTGGTATTCTTTTCTGTGCTCAGAAAATATTTCTAGAGATCCATGTCAGTATAGTCTGTGAAACCAGTTTTATCCTTTAATGTATTATAAATGTTTTTAATGCCACTACTCATATGTTTGTGTTGTGTGTGTGTGTTTAATTAATTAAGACAGTGACCACTGTCTAGAAGTAGAGAGGAGACATGTCTTCATAAAGCGAATCATTTCCTGTTACACTCCTAATAATGATGTAGTGTAATAAACCTTATTTTCTAATTCGATTGTTTAACAACCATCTTGTTTAGCCATAACTAACCATTAAGTTATGATTAAAAAATAAATCTGTATTCAGAATACATATATAATATCTGCGAAAAATTTAATGTACCTACCATTTATCAAAGTTCTGCCATACCTATATAATAGAAATGTACTGTGTTCTATACTCAGCTAATTGTACAAATTTAGGTTATAGTGACCAAATTTAATTTAACTAAGCTTATTTAATCACTAGAGGGGCGAAGAGCAAATTCTACCATATTGCTACATTTGTACTTGCAGTATATGTCTGTGTTTAAGTGATTGCCACTAAAGACTGTTATTGACATTTTATTAAGACTATTAAAATACAGGCAGTGGACAGTGTTTTGTAGTTAATAATAATGAATTCAAACGTAGATCTTTTAAATAATTCTCAGATGCATAATAATTTACTGGTGGTGCTGGACTTTTAAAAATTGAGACCCCCCAAAATTTATTATCAGCCACTCATTCCTGTATACATCGTGCAGCATTTTCTCCTTACAATAATAACTGAAGGAACACTGAACCTGAGAACCTGTGAGATCTTTCCCTGATAAATCCTGACAAAAACTGCATTTAATTATTTTGTTGATACAGAGCCACCAAAACCTGTAGTTCTATGTTTTTATAAGATAATTATACTAGATTTCTTAATCTTGATATTGCCTTCTTCAAACTATCCAATATTGAGTTAGAAACTAGTATTCTGTCCTTGTAATAGGAAGAAAATACATTATCTATAACAATGGACACACCTGCTAAAACCCCGAATAGTTTTGAGTGGTTTAGCTTTAACTGGCATGTTTCTTTTTGACAAGTTTTATGATTAATGTAAATTTTGTTTCTCTGAAGATTGGATATAGTCATTTTGCTTCTTTGATGCATTTACATGATGTATGCAAGCCAACAATAATTTGTTTCTAAATGAAGCATGGTTTTTATAGGCTGTTCTAAAATGACCCCAGATCTCCAAATGAGTTTACTTCACTTAGAGTGTGAATAAACTTTTATTTTGCACTTTTCTTAGAAGTTACGCATGTTTCAATGCAAGAACATGGGGGAGGGGATGAAGAATGTCATTCTTTTTGACAAAGCCACATTGTACTTAGAAATAGTGGTTATATACCATTACACCTTTGAAAATATCCTGGGTTTACCAGCAGTGTAATATAATACTGTTGTGTTAAGGAGAAAACAAAAAAGGTAAGCTAATGTGTTTTCTTTTCTTTCAAGGTTGGCTAGAACAGATTTAAAGTGTATAAATTATCATTCTTTGTGACTATTCTTTAGATTTCAGTTGTGCTTCTTAAAACTTCTACAGGTACTTAAAACAGATGCTGAGGAACTCGTCTCCCGAAGCTATTGGGATACTCTGAGGCGTAATACAAGCCAAGCACTCTTTTCAGATCTTGCAGAGGTATAATTAAATCTTGGCCAGGACCTTGTACTATTTGCCATGTTGTTCATCTAGTCCTCATTTCACTTTAGAGTTACAGTGATAAAATTATATTTTATATTTTCCTTTTCTTCAGGAAAGCAGCAATTCCTAATGGTACACTTGAATATGTTAACGTGCTGGCAGGGGCTGCAAGGTCTATTTTAAATCAACTTAATTGCAGAAAACATGAATTTCCAACTTAATTAAAAGGAATTTTGTTTTTACTTTTAGGAAATGTGACAACACTGTTATATAATTAATTTAGTGAATCATTTGACCCTATGATTTGCAATGTTGTATGAAGTTCTAATTTTTTTTTTTTTGCTTGGTAAAAGGTAACTGATACTTTAATTATGGTAGATATGAACATTTTGAAAATATTAATAGAAAGTGGTTTACCAAGGACAGAACATGAGGGAGGTGTGGTAGGAGCAGTCATTCATCAAATGGAGGAAAAATTTACATCGTTGAGGATTGCAAATACATAGAAAATAAAAGTAGACTGACAGTTAACTCATTGTTTTCAAATAAAAGACCTTATTACTGTACTCAGGTAGACGCTCCCACCACCCCATTCTCACTATGACACTGTTAAAAGGGATTTATCACTTTCAAAGATGGGCTAAATCTTATAGAGTAAATGCTGCTTTACGTTTATGAGAGTTCCTACAAACCAGCCCTGGGCTCACTTCAAATTAAGAGTCATATCACGAGTCTCTCCATAAACCAGAACTCTCAGTCTCCAATCTTTCTCTAATCTTACCTAGCTCTGCCAGAATTTCACATACTTAGACAAAATCTTCTAATAAGTTGTCAGATTTAATTCAAATCTGGGAAGATTCAATATTAAAAGGCCAGTCAGTTCTAATATACACTCAAAGAATATATGTAAGATCTTTTGAAGATGTTTGTTCCTGTATCAGAGATGTGCTGGCTTCCTGCAACTAGCTTGTCAGCACTAATTCCGCAAATCTCTGCCCAAGTTAACATTCTGTGATATATCCCGTTGGAACCTTGACCGTGGCATGATGGAAATATTAATACCAAAGAAATAGGCAAACCCCATAAATGAAGCCCCTTTTTTTTCTCTTTAGCGCTAGTATACCAGCATGCTATTCACTGCAACTGAGCCATGCTATAGTCATAAAGTGCTAAATTAATGAATGAACTAACCCATACAACATGTAAATAAATCTAATGGACGGAAGAAAGAAGAAAACTTACATTGTATTCCAAAGCAAAATAATTATTTGGGGATTACCACTGTTAGTGTGCTTTCACATTAGAGAGGATAATTGAGAATGAGTTAAGTTAAAACTCATTGTTAAGTCCCTATAGATTACTATAAATGTAACATTTTTTATAGTATCAGTATTTCAGGATTCAAATTGGTTCAGAAAGAAAGCGTGTAAATATATTTGTGTATGTGTGTATATACATACATATATTTGTCTCATATTTAAAATGTAATAATTGAGGTAAATATTGTAAGTTTGAGATTGGCCTCATATTCTTACTGCAGAATTGCTTCTACCCACAGTTTTTTCAGTTAGAGCAAAAAAGTTTTAATTAAAATTCAAATATACTTTAGTTGATACTCCTTTCTAGATAAATTAACAAATTCACAGTACAATATAAACCTATCATGCAGCTGTACCTATCATGCAGCTGTTGATACATTCTATAAATAGCAGATTTAGAAAACTTATTCTGAGTTTTACAAATGAAATTTAAAATCTTATTTCCTTTAAAGTTTACTTATTCTAAAAAAGTTTCAATAGATTATTCAAAAACTTTATCAACAAATCAAGAGTTTGAAAATTTTTGCCGATTCTTTGACAGAGCTTGATAAAGTTATTATTACATTGTGATCATAGGAATATATTGAAAAAATGACCCTTGCTGGTGGTGCAACAGGTTAAAAGCACAGCACTATAGCCCTCCCTGGTGGCGCAGCAGGTTAAAGCACAGCACTGAGAATCTAAAGCCGCTTCCGCGTAAGTTCGATTCCCGCCTGCCCCGGAGGTGACCACATGGTGTGGCAGACCTCTCCTGACCCGCCCGCTGCTCCCCTCAGCAGTGTACTTCGTCGATCTGCCTGTTCTGCTCCCCACTCTGTCTCTGGTGAAGCCTCTTGCCGCCCCTGAGCCTCTGGCCTGTACCCCAGTTCTGTATGCACAAATAAATAAATCTTTAAAAAAAAAAAAAAGCACAGCACTATGAAGCACAAGTTTGATCCCTGGCCAGAGAGGTGACCCACATAGCATGGCAGACCTCCTGACCCATCCGCTGCTCCCCACTGTATTTTTGTAGTTTAGCACATTTTTACTAATGCAAATTTATTAAAGTGTGTGTATATTTTGGTCAAATAATTTAACAGTATTTTAATCAAAGCAAAGTTAGATAATGGCCTTTCATGTGAATGGCTTGTGGTGTTCTTTTGTGGCTTTTTCTTGCTTTGTTATGAAAACACCTGAATTTATTTTATTTTAACAATGAGCACAGAATCAAAGGGATAAAGTCTCTATTTTTGTCTAAACTCTCCTGTGGTTTGTTATATAAGACTGCTAGGATACCGAGGCCCTGGTGTAGTTTTCAATGACTACCCGTAGTACTTGTCTCACTGAATGATGGGGTGGGGAGTTTTCGCCATTTCCATTTTCAAATTTTTTTTTCTCTAATGTCAAACTGTTACTTATGCCTCTGTGAGTTCTGGATTATCTGGATAAGTGCAACCTAAGTCTAATAAGATTTTGATGATGAAAGACTGTAAATGAAGATCTGCTCTGCTAAGGACCATGAGAAAAACTGGTTGAATGAGGTCATTATTTAAAATCTGTATAAAACAAAGTCACCTCATTTCAGTTTATTATTTTTTTTGAAGTAAAGGACATCATAGCACTAAAGAAAAACATGCCATAATTATGTTATCTGGGTTCATTAACTTTTGGTGTTCTTGTAACCTCTCATTTTAGGGCTTTTTTTTTTTTTTCCAGATCTCTAATAATGTCTAGTTTCAGTAACAAAAAGGAACTAATAGTGTACTATATAAAATTCTCTCTTTTGCATTAAGCTTCAAAACTGTCATCTTTTCTATCTTTGTCTAGTCCTTTTTTCAGTTATTCATATATTTCAAGTTGGAAAAAGTAAATAGCATTCATTGAGCATTTCCAGCATGTCAGTTTTAGTGTTAAGTGATTTATACATGTTAGATGGCTAGAGCCTCCACTCTATTGCTTGATTTATATATTTTTTAAAGATTTATATATGCATACAGAACTGGGATACAGGCCAGAGGTGCAGGGGCGGTGAGAGGATTCACTAGAAACAGGGTGGGGAGCTGAACAGGCAGACTGATGAAGCACACTGCTGAGGGGAGCAGTGGGTGGGTCAGGAAAGGCCTGCCCCTCCATGTGGATCACCTCAGGGGCCTGGGATCAGAACCTGCACTGAAATGGCTGATGCTACCTTGCAGTGCTGTGCTCGAACCTGCAGCCCCACCAGGAGGGCCCCCTTGCTTCATTTAATCATGCCTTTTTAAATAGCCTCCTAGCAGTTTCAGCTGTTCATGGATAAGGTGAACTGATTAGGCTCAATATCTATAATTTGCATGAAATATCCAACCCCAAAGGTCTCATGTTTTTATCCAGAGTATCTTATGACTACCCATAAGATATTTTGCTTACTTCATTTGTATGCAAAAAAGAATGGAAAAAGACTAGAAGGGATATTACCACTCCCATGTTCAATTGCAGTCACCATTTAATCAACTTAATGGTATCAACCCAAGAGCCCAAAGACAGATGTGTGGATTAAGATACAGTGTATACAAATAATGGAATAATAGTAAAAAAAAAAAAAAAAAAAGATGACCTCTTGCCATCTGCAGCAGCATGGATAGAACTGAAGGGAATAATGCTAAGTGAAATGAGTCAGAAGGAGAAAGAGTAATATCTGGTGGTTACAGAAAACTAAAGCAGAGTCAGTCAAAACCAAACCAACAACAACCCATAGAAACTTTTCTGTAGAATTCAGGCCACATGGGGAGAAGAAGGCTGGAAAGGGAAGAGTGGAAGGGTCCCGGTGGACTGTTGGAGGATTACTGTTGTTTTAGTGGTGAGTGGGGTGACACACCTGAAGACTTCACCCTGTACCTCTGAAGCACAGTGTTGTAAATCATGTTGCTGCCATAAAATTAAGGGGGGGCTGGGGTAAGGAATGTTGGAGAAGAAAAGACCAATTAGAAGATGTAAGCTGTAAATATAATCCATACTTGTTGTTAAAGGAGAATAGTGTTTGGTCTAGGGAGAAGGGAATTAAAGATCACATAGATGTTTTAAGGAATAAAATAGCTATGCTCACGAGAAGCTGGGACGAGGAGTACAGGGAATCAAAGGGCTGCTAAAATTTAGTGGTGGAAGATGTGTGAGATGAAGACTTTGTGTTATGAGACATATAATAAGATGAGCCTTACAAAGCAGAATATGCTTTCTGTTTTCCGCAAAGGACTATAAGAATTCTGACCAAGAAGTAATATATTTCAAAGGTGTACCTTTACATGGACACAGTAGTTTGAATTTTATTGCTTTTGTACCTGAGTTTATGATAGGTCTGAGTTAATGAGCAAATGAAGAAGAAAAAAAGGGGGTGGAGGGTAAAGAAAGGATAACCTTTAAAGCTATATTCGAAGAAAAGATTTTTATAAGCTATTAAACTTCATAAAGACTTATTTATTTTTAAGAATATACTTGTTGGAACTTGGTTTATCGAGTTGAATGGGGAAAGAAAAAAAATCTGAATTTCTTGTCCATTCAAAAACTAATGTAAGACTTTGAAAAAATTACAGGTGATCTAAATTCCAAAGTAATGTTACTATAGCTTCTCTTTCACAAATACCCTCTCAAAGTATCATAAATGTGAATACAACAGGAAAGTGCCCTGGTTAAAGGAAGCTGTTTTGTGAAGCTTAAGGCCATTCATTCATCAGCTCCATCTGTTCAATATAGCTGAAGAATTTATCTCTGGAACATTTTTTAAAAAAACATTTTCAGTTGGATTAGGAAAATTCAAACCAAACTACTTAAATATAATAAAATATTTATGTAACGACAAAGGGATTTTGATTGTTTTAGATAATTTAGAATATAGATCCCCTATATGTATAATTTGAGTTTGAAAAGTTCTTAAGGATAATTATATCTTTAAGTTTGGGGGAGCGAGGGTAGGAAGAAAACAAGGGACTGTGGTGATGGTGCATGGGTGAACTGGTGGTGGGAATTCGATGGGGAGTACAGCTGAGAAAAGAAAGCAAACATTAAAAAAATGAACAATGGTGGAAAATGTATATAAATAAAAATAAATTTGGAGGGAGGATGAAGATCAATTGGTTTATATTTATTTCTCTTTTCAGATTTTGAACTTTGAGCTGTAATGTCATTTATAAGTACAGCCTTGGGCTTTTCATGCTAATGGTGATATATTCTTGACATTAGATGTTGAAGGATTTTGGATATTGTTTTGTCTAATCTTTCAGTTGTGACTTTTTTTAAGCGTGCTGATGACATTACAAGTTTAGTAACAGATACTACACTTCTTGTACACTTTTTTGGAAAGAAAGGAAAAGCTGAACTCAACTTTGAAGATTTTTATAGGTGAGCTTCATTTTTATATTTGTACCGAAAATACATGTTAACATGTTAAAGTCAGAAAGCTCTTCTGAATCATCTAGTGTGGTGATTGACAACTTGTGTAGCTTTCATCCAACTGAATTTACTTTGATAACATACATTTGTTGTCATTAGTACGGTACACCAGAAACTACCCTGAGCAGTGTAAGGGAATTATAAAAAAAGGTCTGGATAATTTGGACTGATTATTTCTTTCGCTTTCTAAAGGAAATATGCCACAAATGCCATAGTCTCCACAAGCCACAGCATAATAATAACAATAAGCATTTATTTAGCGTTTACTATAGTAATCGCTAGGTACTACACCTTAACTCCTTTAATCTCGTGGTTACCCTGCAGGCATTTTTGTTAACCACACTTTACAGATGAGAAAGCCAGGCTCCTGAGAGGCTGTGAATGATCTGTGACCATCACCCTTCATTTACCTTATTCATTACATATTTTTGTCATAGATTCATGGATAACCTCCAAACAGAAGTTCTGGAAATAGAATTCCTTTCCTATTCTAATGGGATGAATACTATCAGTGAAGAAGATTTTGCTCATATTCTCTTACGATATACAAATGTGGAAAATACATCAGTATTTTTGGAAAATGTGCGTTACAGTATACCTGAAGAGAAGGTATAGTTTTCCAGTACTTACTTTGTTACATGTTGTTATCTTTAATTATTTAGGTAATATAAAATACAGTGATCTTTTGTTAGTGCTTTTACTCTTCTGTGGATTAATAGATACTTCAGATTTATTTCATTTTTTCCCCATCTGTGTCCTAAGTGTTCAGGTTAATTTTTTTTAACTAAGTGATTTATTCTAGGTAAGTGCACATATTTTTCTTAGATGCACTGAAAACCCTTAAGGTTATTAGCAGTTTTATTCAAATTATGTTATTTATAATGAGAAATCTGAACTATATGCTTTGCTTACTGTAAATACATCACTTCATATAAAAGTTTATAGACATCCGTTTAGTTACACTTTATTCATTTCTGTAGTATCCTTAATAAAAGGTCATTTGCAGACAGACATTGATGAGTGAGTGATCTTATCGGTAGTTGAAGTGAGGTTTCCCAAAGGATTTGGATGACATGAATGGTTAAGAACATGAGACAACTGATTGTCTATTTGTTTAGTAGCAAATGTGTTGTCAGCAATTCTGAGCAGTTAAGTTGCATTATCTAGTGGTATTTGAATGCATCATTGCAACCAAATAGAACTGGTGTTACAAGTACCCTTTCAAGCATGGGATGTTTTGGGTATATAGCCTTCTATTTGTGTTTGTACAAGGATCAAATTCATCTAACCAAGAAAAACTTGCAAATAGTTTGACTTCGTTTAAAATGGATACACTGTGGCACTGCTAACGTTTCTCCAGGATTCCTAGGGAATGAGAAAAAGAGGATTTGATTCATTTGGCCATTAGTTTATAAAATTTTCATCTAGAGACTTTTATCACTTTACATATTAAACTGATTTTTTTTCAATTCATAGATACTTCCATAAAAAGAAATATTAAAATTGTACTGTTGTGTTCAGATGCCAGGTATTATTTAGAAAACCGTAAAGAATCTTTTTTTTTTTCCTTTTATCATATGGAAGCATTCATAACTCAAAAAAGTTCAATTTCAGGATTGGGAATATATGAATAGTCCTATTGTTTTTTAAATTAAAAATTATGTAAAAAGTTTTAAGTTAAATTCACCTTCTGAAAACTTGCTATTAATAGAAGTACTTTACTAACAGTCGTTACAGTGAAAGTGGTCATTTGGGCAGGTGAACTAGCACTGATTCTCACTGATATTTTTTCTCTCATTTCTTCAGTACAACCTTTTAAATATTGCTATCTTACAGAAAAAGGGAAATTAAGCTCTTAGTCTTTTCCCATGGATAATCAAATCCAATACTCTAAGATATTCCTACCACACCCACCTCCATCGCTCCTTTCATCTTCTCTCCAGATTTACAGCTACTATTTGAATAGAACTTTACATTTATTAAACATCTATTCTACAAGGCCTATTCTACACACTGTGGATATAATAAGGAGCTGAGAAAATCCTTCTCCCATGGAAATAAGTTTTAGTGGATAGACACAGTAAACATGTAAATAAAAGAATAAATAAGTGGTATATTTTCAGATAGTGGTGCTTGTTAAAAGGAGGAAGAGCCATGGAACTGGGAAAGAAGATGCCCTGTCCAGAAAGCTTTTTTGAGCAGATGGTTTTAGAGGAAAGACCATGAGGAATGGTCTATGCAAAGATCTCAGTAAAGAACATTTCAAGTAGAGGAAACAGCAAATACCAAGGGCCTTGCCACAGCAAAAGCTTAGTTTCTTTGAGAAATTGTAAAAGGGTTAAAACAAGTGAACGGGAAAGTACTAGGAGATGAAAGAGATAGCTATGGGTCAGGTCTTATAAAATCCAGTTGGCAAGATAAGGAGTTTAGATTGTATGCGAATGGTGACTCTTATGCATAATGGGAAGCCTTTGTAGTGTTTAAACTTTTAAAACAGGGATAAGCAAACTTCCCTACTATTTTTGTAAGTAAAGTCTGGAACACAGCCACACTCATTCTTCACATTTATTGTTTGTGGCTGCTTTTGCATCATAATGGTAGAGCTGATTAGTAGTGGCATAAACCACACAGTGCGAAAAAATCCAAATACTTGCTTTCTGGCCTTTATAAGAACAAAACTTGCCAACTTTACTTTAGTGCATAGGCATGATATTTGTTCATTAGACCAGTATTTATGTAGTTAGTACTTGCTATCTACTTGACAGTCAAGTGTGACCTGACTTGTGCAAGATAGGATCTGATTCCTGTTTCAAAAGATCATCTTAGCTGCTCTCTGCAGAACAGACTTTACATGGCCCACCTTTGAAAGAAATTCAGGTTAGGATGCTGTGAGAGTGCAGCTGACTGTTGTTGTAAGAGATGAACATGGCTTGGACCAGGCTGAAAATGGGGCAACGTGGTCAGACGTAAATAACTGAAAAAGCAGAACTGCAGGACTGTTGGATCATATTTCTTTTTCTTTTTCTTTTTTTTTTTAAGATTTATTTATTTGTGCATACAGAACCGGGCTACAGGCCAGAGGCTCAGGGGCAGCGAGAGGCTTCACCAGAGAGTGGGGAGCAGAACAGGCAGATCGATGAAATACATTGCTGAGGGGACCGGCGGGCTGGTCTGCCAAGCCATGTGGTCACCTCCAGGGCAGGCGGGAATCGAACTCATGTGGAAGTGGCTTCAGCTTCTTAGTGCTGTGCTTAACCCGCTGCACCACCAGGGAGGGTCTAGATCATATTTCAATGTGAAAGAAAAAGAATTGAGAATCCCTAGGGTCTTGACCTGAATTGTGAAGCAAAACAGTCATGCCATTTTCTGAGCTAAGTGAGGCTACAAACATGGGGTGAGGAGAGAATATAGTGTTTGTTCGAATAAATTAAATATGAGATCCTTGTGACATATCTAACAGATTGTGCAGGTAGTTGGATATTTGAACCAATCATTCAGGGGTGTAATTAAGACTACTTTTAGTAGTTGTGTATACCTCCAGACTGTGTCTCCAGCTTAACCTTCTCCCCAGAACTGTAGATTTTTACTTCATACTACCGACTCAGAATCTCCTCTTGGCTAACCATAGACATATCATTCTAATTGTGACAAAATTTAACTGATCGTCAAAAATATCTTCCTCCACACATCATCTCTCTTTCAGTTGATGAAAACTTCATTCTAACTAGTTATTCTAATTTAAATGTTGACTCTTTCCTCTCAGTACATAAATCCTCTTGATACTACCTCTATCAAAATTTGAGAACTTCCTGCCACAATCCTTACCTGGATTACTGCAGTTTTCTCCTAATTCATCTCTCTGCTTCCAGCTTCCCCTGTGTACTTGTGTTCTGCCTATAGCATGTAAGGACTCTTTATACCATGATTCTGGTTTTATTGTAATAACTTCATTTTCCTCAAAGTAAAAATGAAAATCCTTAAATTGACCAAAAAAGAACTGTTCTCTCATAAACACACTTCCCACCATTCCCCCTTGCTCCCCAGAAAGAGGCCACACTGGCCATGCTACTTCTCAGATAGCAGGCAGTCTTCTGTCTTGTATGTTCTTTTTTCAGCCTAGTGTTCTTCTCTTATTTTCACAGTTCACTGCTATTTCTAATGATTCTTGCTCTTCCAATTTATTAAATAATCACCTATTATATAAATAATATATAACCTATAATATAAGGAATACTCTATTATATGAATTTGAACTCTCTCCCTTGGCATTTCCTATTTCTTCTTAATCTTTTTATTTACATAGTGTTATCATTTTCTAGCATACTATAGTTTTTCTTTGTTTATCTGGATAATTAATAGAATTTAGTTATTTTTATTATTTGTTGTCTGTCTTTATGTTTTTGCTTTTTTGCTCAGTCATATATCCACAGTATTAAAGCATTTATATTTTTATAGTACTTAGAGATGTAAACCTTAAAGCATTTATATTTTTGTGAATTTTAGTGACAGATGCATTCACTTATGTGTGAAAACACAGATATACAATGTTGTTTACTATTCAGTATTGTTTGTAGTAGCAAAATGTTGGGACCCATTTAAGTGTGTTTCAGTGAGTTACTGGTTAAATAAATTATGCTTTCTGTGTAGAATGGAAAAAGTACAGCTGAAAAATAGACCAACAAGATTCTTTATATACAAATATAGAACAATCTCCAAGCTATAGTAAGTGGAAAAAGGCATGATTTAGAACGGTGTGTTCTGTATAATACCATCTGTTAAAAAAAAAATAGCCTGTTTTAATTCTAGAAGAACTGGAAGGACTCACAGAACTAGAAGCATTTATTCTTCAAGAAAGAAACTGCATAGCTAAGGGAAATTGGTGGGAGAGGGGGGACTTTGTCTTTTATTCTTTTGAATTTTGAACAGGTACATATGTTAATATAGAAATAATATTTTAAATTAAATCTCTTTCTCTCCCTATTTTTTACATCATTGCTCATTTTTAAGCAGTGATTGCTTCCCACCCCCCTCAGGTGCTGTCCCCAGAGAACTTCATCCTCTGATTCACTTGTGCACCATCACCACAGCCCGCTCTGCTCTTCCCTCCCTCTCCCTTGCAGGGTGTCTCTGGTTACAATTGGCTGTATGTTTTTATTTTGTTGTGTTGTGTTTTGTACTGTTATTATATTTTTAAAAATTTTTTAAAAAATTTAAATGCCAGCCCTTCCTGGTGGCGCAGCGGGTTAAAGCACTGCACTGAGAACTAAAGCCACTTCCGCATGAGTTCGATCCCCGCCTGCCCCCGAGGTGACCACATGGCGAGGCAGACCTCTCCTGACCCGCCCGCTGCTCCCCTCAGCAGTGTACTTCGTTGATCTGCCTGTTCTGCTCCCCACTCTGTCTCTGGTGAATCCTCTCACCCTCTGCATCTCTGGCCTGTACCCCAGTTCTATATGAATAAATAAATAAATCTTTAAAAAAAAAATTTAAATGCCACGTAATTTGGTGAATTTGTCTAGGAGAAAGTATAGAAACTGTAGAAAGGAATCGAAAAAGGATCTCACTACAATAATATAATATAAATATTAACAGGAAGGTAGTAGGATTAT